CTCCGCTCAGAATCGTATTTTATATAGGTATAAAATAATATGTTAATGATTATTAAAATTGTACATTTGCATGTAATTTGGACAAACCACTTTAAGAAGACGTGTCATACAATTCGGACGTTTCAAAATTAAGTAGGTAAGTAAGTTTATTTTTTAGCATGCAATTCGGAACCTATTACACATCGATAGCAATATTATAATAATTAATAAACCATATACGTTAGGTACTGTTCGATATTATAGGTAGGTAACCTGATTGTAGTACAGTTTTCCCAACTTTAACATTTCCTAAATATGATATTCACAATCTAATTTCTCCAATTCAAATATTTACCATAAAAACATTCTCCCAACATCATATATTTTTACAAATTTAATATTTCCTCCCCCCCCCCCAAAAAAAAAGCCTTATCTGATTTTTGTAAGACATTGTGTGTAGTCATGTCACGATGTAGAGAAGATATCTTCTCTACATCGTGAGTCATGCCATGTCTAGACTAGTGGTACGATTATCTAATCATTTTTATTTCTTGATTTATCGGATAAATGGTCGGTATCGATTATCGAATGAACTTGTTATTTACCTACCTGGTTTAGTTTCATTTTGACAGTCGTTGTCTCAATGAGTGGTTTTTTCGTAAATTGACTAACCTAGGTATATTAACCTGTAATTTTCGTATTACCGTATACATTAAAATTATGGCTGAAATTATAAATTCCAATGGAAGAGGAAAGCTTTTGCATATTGACGGATATCTCTATTACAAACATTCGTAAAACCAAGGTCGAATTTATTGTATTATAGTTGTCAGAAGGCTGGCAATAATCGGATTTAAGTGGTTTTCGGACGACAACTACCAAGCGTCTATACATTTTTCACTGAACTTGGCAAAGAACAAGCCGACACTGATAGCATGTTACGACAACTAAATCTGGGAAAAAAAATAAGGAAGGGTCGTAATATGGTACGACTAAAAGTAGGGGAACGAATATATAATATTGTTTCCAAGTATGATAAATTATTATTGCGCATACCTCACGGCCCTTAGTTATAATTAAAAATTTTAATACACTTATTTACTCATACTACTTTTTTACTATACTTATTAGTTATTACCATAGGCGCAATTTCAACATAAAAACTGAGGGTGCTTAAGCTCTGCATTTCCTGAGTATTTAAATTAAATTATACCTATGAGGCACTTATGACTTTTTTGAGAAAAAATGGTTTTATGACAATTTAACATTGAAGTTATAGTGCATATTAGGTACATTTTATAAAAATTAATACAATAGTAAATTTTAATTTAATAAAAATTTAAAACAAATTATTTATATTTTATTCAAAAAATATGACAAATAAATATTAGTGTACAAGGCGTGTAACAGACAGACTTGACAAAAAAAAAAAAAAAAATAAAGCTACTTAAATGTGTGACAAAAATTGTTAAAATTATAAAAAAAACATTATAAATATTGATTAGAACAAAAGTTATTCCAAAAGTCAGTTATATCTGTACCTACTATATTATATCATTCGGCATACACAATCACACAGGCTGTCGGAAACTTGGAACTCCAGTGAACACCAACTGACAAGTTATTCGTATATCGTAATTAGATTTTTGTCCGAATTAGATGTGGGCAAGGGAATGTTTCTATTAGTAAATACTCGCGATACTATAAATTGTCGTAGACCTGAGTCGCTGCTGAACGTGATAACACTGATAATAATATAACCGACCACAACGACCGGGCTTAGTAGAAACCACGGTCTTAGATTATTAGAAACATTGGAAAATAATGATTTATATTCTAAATAGATTTGAATTCGATAAAATTACAATTGTCGAATTCATTGTTTCATTCATTATACTCTGATACCCTCATGTCTGATGATAAACTGTTTTTGGTTTTTTTTTTTTGTAAAGAGAAGTTTTTATACATAAACACATATTTATTAGATGGTGCTAATTTTAAAATTGGGGGTGCTAATACCCCCTAAGCCCCCCCCCCTATTTGCGCCTATGCTTATTACTTATACATTTTAAAATTAAAATAAAAAATGTCGTATATTTGGTAAGATCTTATAATGATAGATTTGATATTGTGAAAAATAACTTTGGAGAAAAATACTAAATAGTATTGTGAAAAATAACTTTTGGGAAAAATGGTATTGAGAAAAAGAACTTTTGGGAAAAAAAAATGTGAAAAACAGATTGGGAATAGTGTCTCCCTACCAGGTACCTACGTCGTTTTGGCTAGTTACCTACTTGTTGTAATTGATGTACTACGGCTATACCTTTAATCTATATATTATTATGTGCAGATAAACTGGTTACCACTGCAGTATGATTTATAATAATAATATATTAATTGGCCAGACCCTGGCCGCAACTACTAACCTGACAATAATTTAGCCCCCCCACCCTAGAATTCCCCTTATTGATTTTAGATATAGGTCCCCTGTGTGTTATTTTAGCTTAAAAGTTTTGTAGGAGGGCTGCAGTAGGTACCTAGTACCCAAGCTAGTACCTTACTAGTTATATTATATGTAGGTATTGACATTTCAAAGAAATTGGTGGTTTGTGCGGCTCCTCCTCAGCCTCCACTAACTTTTAAGCCATAAAAACTTGGTAAATATTTTTAGTAGCGTTCACATACTAAAAGCATGAATAATTTTTTTTTAATTCATAATGATATTACAAGAAAACGATGGTGGATGAAAGAATAATACATTTTTAGGTAAATGAGCGTTGTGTAATGATGTGTGGAGCCCAAGTTCGTAAATACAACATAGATATGTCTACCAACTAAGTTGGATAGTAATCTCATGTCTCTTAATTTTCATGTTTCAGGCTTTTTTTTCACATAGAATTGATCTAAAATTCTGTATATTTTGCTAATTACTTGTATAGCAATTAGCAGTGGTCAGAGGCTGTGTTGGATTACTGGGGAATACTGAATAGTCACTTAATGTACCAATGCTACAAATTATTACTATTAACAAAATTAACAAAATTTCTGGATGTTTTTACATGTTAAAAGAGTACCTAACATCATTTGTAACGGTATACCTACTTTGTAAGAATTTTATAAATGAAAAAAAGAATGTTACACTACCTACCTAAGTTTTAAAAATATATATTTAATGTAGTTAACAATTAGTACTGAAGTACCCAAGGTAATTGTATTACTTTATAAGTTATTTACCAAACAATGACAGTGGGGAAGCAAAATATAGGATACTGGGTATATTCGTATTTATGGTATATTAGTGGGGCCGTGGGGAACATATTGAATGTTCATATTGTGTTAGGTACATTTTATTAAGTAGGTAGTAATGTGAATATTGTAATAACTAATAATATTATATTATGGAGGTACCTACTAACTACTACACAATATATATTATGGCCATACATAAAGAACAAAACCATATGTGTAAATATAAATGTTATAAACATTAAAAAAAATAGTAAAATGCTGAAGTTTGTAGTTTCAAATTTTAGATATTACTTTTCTATTGTCAACATAATCATAGGTGTGTACTTAATTTTCACAGGTCTAACACAAGCTTAATAGAGTATGCAATCAGTCAAAGACGAATAGGCTGACCACTAAAATTTGAAAAAAAAATTATCATTATCTTGTTGTAAGTACAGAAAATAATGACTTATAAGAGGTACAAATGAAAAAAAAAATATTCATAACTACCTAGCTAGTACCTACATAAAAAGAACCGCAATATTATTGATCACATATTTTACACACGCCTTGTTAAATTTCACAGATCGTGCAAGTGCATGACAGGCCCATACTCCATACAGTTTCGGGTTTTTATTTCAAATTACAATTAATTAGTGTAGGTATTGCTTAAAAAATAACTAGTAAGATTAAAAATTATTTATATTATTAAGGAATAGGGGTAATTAATATTAAATAATCACAAATTTACTACATTTTGTCATGATATATTATATTATATACCTATTAAGAATAGTGCAAGAGTAAAAATGTAAACGTAAGCATTGTAATGAAAAAATTAAATTTGATTATATGCTTATACATATTTATTATTATGTAGATATTTATGTATTTCATACTATGTTTGTATGTTGTCAATTGTCATTCATAAAGGAAAAATATCATAAAAATTGATAACAATGTAACATGCAAATTTTGTTTTCAAAAGTATTGTTTAGTATTGACTTCTAATTATGTATAAAATATATTTTCAAAAAATTTGATGTGACGAGTCAAGGAAATAGTATTAATTGTCAAAACATATGGCATTAAATACTAAAAATGTGAAAATATGTATTTAAAAATGTACATCGACCACATTAACTAGTGTAACGAGTTAAAATGCAAATTGTTCCGTACATGATATAATTAGATATAGGTGTAAATCGAGGCTAGCATATTTGAGCCCAATAAGTGAATGAGACAATGAACTATGAGTTCAATAAGCGGCGATTACTGCCAACATACAATATACATACTGACTACATTTAAAGCTATCTACGCTGTCTAGTGTCCAAAAACAATGCATTGTTTAAACAAATCATGTTTTTAAATATGACTTATGTAACTTATTCACAATAATCAAACCATATAAACTAATTTATATCCTCGTAGTGTACCAATAAATCTGATACAAACTATATTTTATTAATAAGGTACTCAAAATAGCAATATAAAATAAAATCATTTTATAGTATAAAACTTGTATAATACAATATTAGAATATATACATAGTATACAAATTACATGGTGGTCAACAATGTGAAAACAATTTTCAAAATAGTATTTTGATGGAAGCTCCAAATCCTACTAAAAAAGAAATAAATAGGTGCATCATTGAACACCATGTACGTAATAAATATACGATCATTAATTTCAATTAAAATACAGCATAATAATCCAAAACGGAAAATATTTATAAATTATAAAATAGCTTATAATATATTATATTATATTACTTTGAAAATGGACGATCACATAGACAATGTTCTATGTCTAGGTGCTTTTTTTTTAAGGTCTTTGAAATCTTTACTATCAACACTGTCTATCTCTTTATTCTTTAGCATTGCTATTAAATTACTTTCTTTTGTATAATTGATTTTGAATTTATCATCATAATGCGAGGATCGAGTATTTTCAGTTGGACTTGGATGACATAAATTGATATTGAAATTAACATTAGGCAATGCAGGAATTTGAGGTGTCACATGTTGGGCTGATGTCGTTGGATGAAAACTGTTGTTAATTCTTTTATTCGTCGTATATTGGCCATTGTTGGTTGGTTCTGCACCAATTTTTGAGCGACCATATCCAAATAAGTAATTTGTGCTTAAACCTCGACCAACTAACAATGAGCACGATAATAATACTGTGTGGATGATTACAACAATAACGATAGGAATCAAAACTATTTGTGCCCAAAATGGTATATCCTCTAAAAATAATAGTAATATTTTTATTAACATAGTAGATAAACATAAAATCAAAAAATATTTGTAAAAAATCCAGTTCTCAAGAATTGAATAAATTATAAATAGAAAATATATGATAAAATGCAATTTTCTTACTTAAAACCGATTTATTGAACACGTATATAGATTCTCCTAAGGCTTCTATTGGCTTCGTCAACATTTTACTAACCATTTCAGCAAATATATCAGTCATCGCGATAGAATATTTAGGATCCAAAAAAATTGCTTCCTTTTGCCTTTTGCACTGATCTAGAGAAATAAATGTAAAATACAATTTAATTAGAATAACATAGAAATTAAAAGATATTACCTAAATTGTTGGATTGAAACCAAGAAAAAGTAGTCCAGCCTGTCTTTTCGCGACACTCAGTAGGCATGTACTGCAATTGAACACTGCGATTTATTTCGGCTTTCTATGATTACATAACAATATAAAAAACACTTTTAATTATACAATCATCAATAAAGTTGTTTCAATGATCACTGGTATTCTAATATTCTAATAATTATTTATTTAATAAAAGTAGAAACTTTTTAGGTCTACCACTAATTTAACACATTAAATGTCTTAATTTAAGAAATTTAATGTAATTATAAATCATAATTTATTGTTATTGCACCATGAGTCCATGAATAATAAAAATATGGGTTTCTTACCATGTACATGGTGTACCAGGTTGAAGCAAATCCAAGTGCAAAAATAATAAAAAGAACAAATGTTAGGCTGCAAATATAATTAATTTTTTTAAAAATAATATACAGTAAAACAATTGAAATACAACCAACTGAAATCCAATACAGCGAGTCTTGCTTAAACTGAAACAATGATTATAGTTTGTTATTAAGTAAAGTATTACCCAACATTCTTTAAGTAGGTAGGTATTTAAAATAATTCTAAATGATATTTAATGGTTAATTATACTAGGTACAGCATGAAGGTGCAAATACAAACAAGTAATATAACAGCAGGCAACACATTTTTATAGATGTATTTATAAAAATATAAACCTATACCTACATTTATTTATGCATAATTAAGGTAGGTAGCTGATAAATGGGGAAGAAAATATAAATATAAATTATATAAATAACATTAGTGAGATGGTTAAATATGTGGTAATTTTCTTATACCTATATAAAAAAAATAGTCAAATATTTTGGAATTAGCCCTGGATTGATTTAATGTCAAAGTATTTGTGGAGGGTTACGTTACAATATTAGAGACAAAGTATGGAGCATTTTTTTGGCATAAAACTATTAAATCAAAATATAGATATAAATTGTTATTTTATCGGATTATAGTCTATACTATTAAAATACCTATAAATAAATAATTTACCAAAAATCGACGATCTACTTGATTACCTACTAATCATTAATCACATAAATGTTTTCCAGGATGTTTTCTATACTTATTAAAAAGTATTTATAATAACATTAAGTTGTTTGCTCACTAATGTTGCTTTATTAGTACCTACCTAATTATCAACTACAAAATATTCAAATTAAAAGTAAATAATTAAATAATAATTTAAATGACAATTAGATACCTGATTGTATATTTTGAAATGGCTGTTTCCTAGGCCGTTTTCTTCAGTGGAGTTAATTTCCACTGGAGTAAATAAGCCGTTTAAAATTCGATCAACTTCTGTATAATCTACATCCCTTTTATTGGCCATGTTTTTCAACAACTCTAAATCTTGAACACTGAGGGTCACTGATGTGTACAACTTCAGCTCTTTGTTTTCGCCATTGTTTGACACTTGATCAATGTTCTAAAAAAGAGCCACAAAATCAAATAGAATACAACACTGTTCACGAGCAAGTCTTTAAGGTATATTATGTACAGATAAATAATACATATTTATTTATTTATTTAAATACACACACTACAGATCGTCCAGTGTTTAATAACAGTATGTTGATACTTGAAAGAAGACTTTACAACGTTCAGTTTTGAATGGGCTCATTGGCCATTGTTTTTGGTGTAGGAATTTTCATTGATTTCGACGACCTGTCGTAGTTGAGCATATCCAACGGATCGACAAAGTCGTCTTCTGAACATTTTATGATATACTCACTAGATAAACACAAAACCAAAACGATGATAGAAATAACTCTCATTGTAATTTGTAATACTCTAATAATAATAACGATAATTTTAAATTTTTGCTACAAAATCGTATTTATAATGAAGGAACGACACGATCCATAACTATTAACTATCTAACTAGTAACTAAGTAATAAGTATTGAATAATTTCAAAATAATCATAATATACTGGTTATGTGACAAAACAAACTGACAATAACATTGTTTCGAGATAAATAATGGATTTCCTCCATAGTCCTTATAATATTTAATCCTCAAAATTGATAATAATCATAGATTTATCACAGACTATATGATATATATACATATAGTCTGTTGATATATCACGGACTAGGATATACAGGACTGGAAACGACGGCGTTATCAATGGAACTAAAGTACAACGCTAGTTGGTACAACGTCGATCTTTACGCCATCTAGGTACGTAAGTGCATTACATAATAAGTTAATAATTAATTGTTAAATTATTAAATGGTAATTATTAGTATGGTGCCTAGTGCCTACTACCTACTACCTATATAAAAAAAATGTATTATAATATCGAGTTAAGAATTAAGATCTAAAATGTACTTGTATAGTTAAATTACCTATATACAATATAAGGCACCTTAATTGACAAGTAGTTTATGAGATTGAGAGCAAATTTCAATAAAACTTTCATCTTACAAGTAGCACAGAATATTAGAGTTAATACATTATATTATTTTTACATATTTGCATTTTAGTGTTTTAATTTATTAATGTAATAACTAAAAACTATAGTATGACATACCTGTTAATACTTGATTTGCAATAACAATAATTGTTGTGAATATTTAATATTCTATTTTGAAGTTCATACCTAAAGGTACCTATACTTACTTCGAAATTCAAATACTGTGCAGATATTTGTGTAGGTATGCATAAAAAAAATAACAACAATAAATTAAATTTATGAGTAGTTCTTAATTTATTTTGGTAGTATCGATCACTTGCACTTTGTAGTGTTTTTAATACTAAAACACTTCTCTGGTTTAATAGTAGGTATATATAAGTATGAAAAATATTGAGTAGTTTGAGTAACAGTTTAAACACTTTAAAAATTATCTTTACAACACTACAAATGTCAAATTGCTAAGTTACATACTGACTACAATTAATAGTAACTTGATTGTAAAATAGATCATAAATTGCATAAATATAAAATTTAACATACATTTAAACATACTTTTACCATTAGCTTTAGAGACAGCTTCGTTCCATGCTGTTAAAATATTAACTTCTTTTGGTGCTTTGAACAATGTACATTTATAATTTGTTTTTCAAAATATGGCATTGATCTACACTACACCGCCTAGGCATTTTGGTAATTTATCTTAAATAATAAATAAATGTAAGGTACTATTGAAATATTGGTAAAAAAAGTACAACATAGAATGAATTTTAGATAGGATTCACAGAATAGACTAAAATAATCTTTAATGTATGGTCAATACTTGCTCAGTACCTATTCTGTACTTAATTTAATAACATATACATACAAATAAAGTATAATATATCTTAGATTAAGTTGTTTAGTATAAAATATATTATACACATTCAAGAAACAAAACTAGATACAATATGTGTATAACAAGTCTAAAGTTTATTATATATTTCATTATTTCATACAGTAACATAGGGATTATTTATAGGCTTATAATAGTTGCCAATAGATGGCAGAGCAGTCGCGGTTGTACAGGCGTCAGAAAGGAACCGTTGTACATTTGGCCCAGACCCCGCACTCCGCCAGCTCATTCGTTTCCAGTCCTGTATATCCTAGTCCGTGATTTATATAATATACAGTTGTATATATCTATGATAATAGTTCCCGCCGTTATTTAAATAACAATCATAAGATATATTAATAAAAAATTTTAATAATTGTACTTGGATATTGGTTATAACTTATAACTAATTTATAAGCAGTATTACATATTATGTAGGTATATTAGTAAATAACTCATATTATTGTTATTTTATCATCATTTGGCATAATTTATAACAATGAACACTACAGTAATATTAGAGTTCGGATTTTGAAGGAATTTGCGTTTTTATTATATTGGTTTAAGACGAAGTTACGTCAGCTATACATTTTATTGTTATACTTATAATAAAATGCATGAAGTTTTGTTTTGCTTTTGAAGTTGTTATTTTATTTAAATACTTTTTTGAGTTTTTTATGATTTTTTTTACTTTTGAGTAAGTAAACTTGAAAGACTTTTAGTACCTAGTATAATTCGATTTAATAAATCCGGCACGAAACTAATACAATCTATTAACTTAATAATACCTACACAAAATGGAACAATTACTTAAACAAGCTCCAGGTAAAATAGGTTGTCGGCAAATAGGAAGCGTTGGTATTGAATAGAAATGTTGGGTTTAAAACGCTTGAAACTGTATCTGAGAAGATATAATAACTTAAATTCAAGGAATCCCGGAAAATATGGTGTATTTTAAATTCGAACACATTGGTTTTTGTTGATTTCGAAAATAAAATTATAATATAGGTAAATGTTATCTTTATATATTGTTGTTGATAACTATACTGACGGGGAGTCGGTTGAGAGTTATCAGTCGTCGCCCGTATGTCCTGACGGACGGTTGTTATTATGTGTTTTATTCTTTCTTAAATAAAGTTCAATGTGACATGAGTTTTAGTGTATGTTAATATTCAGAAGTGGGATGAACAGAAGACGAACAGATGAACAATAAATGAACGACGATCTAAGAACAATAATTATGCCGAACAACGAACATAACGTCCATGGAGATCAACCGAGTTCACAAGAGTCACGTGCTTCGTGCAACGAAAAGCTGGATACAGGGAGTACTCATAACCTACAAAAACTACGAAATGAAGAATCGAACAAAAACGTTGAACACAATTATGCCGCCAAAAGTAATGACCGAACACCCGAGGATGAAACAGTGTTACCAACCCAGTCCGTAACTACAAGTACTAGTGGTATAGATCCGATGATAAAGGCACTACTGGAACAAAATCAAGCATTGATAAACGGTTTGTTTATAAACGAGAGATATCGAGATCGATCGTCAACATCGTCGGAAAGTTCGGAATATCTTGTTATGCCAAATTTTCTCAACACGTTGCCGGAATTCGATGGTCGAAGTAATAGTCAAACCGCGGAAGATTGGTTGGCAGCAATCGAAGGTGTCGCTAAACTACATCGATGGCCCGACGCGTTCAAAATTGAAAGTGCGCGCTCGCGAATGATCGGACCAGCGAACAATTGGTTTACCGGTAGGAAATTTACAAATTGGGACGAATTCGTATTTCAGTTTAAACGTACATTTGTCGGTTCGAAACTGAATATAGTCGAACGTATGAAAAACATGCTGAAACGAGTACAAAGTGAATCGGAAACGGTAGCCGATTATTTTCATCATAAAGCTAGATTATGTCGTGAATTAGAATTGCCGTTTGATGAGACGAAGCAGCAAATTGTCGCCGGATTAAGGTCGCGAGACTTATGTTACTATTTGTTAGCTCGACATCACATTGATGAAGATAACTTGTGTTACGATTTAACGTCGTTTACTCAGATTAGTGACGCCCGTTCACAGTATTTTAAAAAAGATAAGCCACAACGTCCAAATACCAATGAAGTAAGTCACGTTACGTCCAGTACAACCAAGTCTCAAATGCCTACTGCATCCAAGGACACTAACCGTAAGACATTTACCAAATTACCGCCGCGCAATGACAAAGACGAGCCACTCTGTTTCAACTGCTCTACATATGGACATGTATCAAGGTACTGCACAAAACCAAAAAAAGCGAAGTGCGAAAAATGTGGGAAATATGGTCATGAAAAAAACGCTTGTTTTACGAATACCCAAGTTGTGTCGTTAGTAAGTTCAACACCAAACACAATCAATGAAAAGTATTTTTTTGATGTTTTAGTTAATGAAAAACCAGTACGAGCGTACGTAGATACTGGAAGTCAACTATGTCTAATGCGAAAGAGTGACGCTATAACAATGGGATTATCGATCGAGTCAATACCAAATACAGTTGAAATCCGAGGCTACGGTGATGGTAGATTGGTGCCTATAGGCGTTGTCACAGTCAAATTACGAGTGGACTGCGCTACTTCTCAAGTACCAATTTATATCGTTTCAGATGACGCACAGACCATAGCACTTATAGTTGGACAACCATTCACCGAACAATCGCATGTTGTACTAGTCAAACGTGGAGACATTTTACGTATATACGAAGACACTAAAGAAGGCAACGACGTATTTGATATGGATATCCCAGAATTGCCACCAAGAGTAATTAGTTTGTGGGCAAAACAAACAGAAGTAATTTCACCGAAGCATGTTGGAGTGATTGAGGTACAGTCGGATAACAAATCATTAGATTTATTTGTTAACGCACAAATAAGAGATGACCGCTGTATTCCAAGTTGTGTAATAACTACTGATGACCAGGGTAAGGCACGATTGCCTATTATCAATCTTTCAACGTCAGACGTCCATGTAAAAGAAAATGAGAGAATAAGCAGAGCTATATTATGTACGGAGATTGCAGAAACCCAGTGCGAAAAATCAGACTTTGATGTAGAGTCCATTAAACATGGTGACCAACTAACAACTGAAGAACAACTGGCATTACAGACACTCATAATCAAATATCGAAACTGTTTTGCTACCCAAATGAGTGAATTGGGCAAAGTCAAAAGTACTGAATGTAATATAATAACTGTTACCAACAAACCAGTTACTTTCCGTCCTTATCGGTTGAGCGAATCAGAACGAAGAACAGTGAGAGAAATGGTTGAAGACTTGAAGGGATGCGGTATAATAACAGATTCCAATTCCCCATATGCATCTCCGATCCTATTGGTCAAAAAGAAAGACGGCGGAAGTAGATTCTGTGTGGATTATCGGGCACTGAACAAAATAACGGTGAAGGACCGCTATCCATTACCTTTGATAGAAGAACAAATTGACCGCTTAGCAGGTATGAAATTATATACTAATCTAGACATGTTTTCCGGTTATTATCAGATACCAATGAGCAAAGACGCCAGGGAGAAGACTTCATTCATAACACCGGATGGTCAATATGAATTCACACGAATGCCATTTGGTATAGCAAACGGACCATCTGTGTACCAACGCATGATCAATCAAGTTTTGGGACCTCTGCGATTTACAATTGCTATGGTGTTCATGGACGATGTTCTGATTCCTAGTCGCACAGTAGAAGACGGGTTGTACAATTTAGAAACCGTACTTGAAACTTTTGTTAATGCTAATCTTACATTAAATCTAAAGAAATGTAATTTCCTATGTACAGAAATCGAATACTTGGGATTTCAGATTTCAGAAGGCTCAATAGCACCAAGTAAACGCAAGATCGAAGCAGTGATGAACTTTCCCAGACCACGGGATGTACACAATGTGCGACAATACTTAGGCCTGACTGGTTACTTTCGGCGATATGTTCAAGGATATGCACAAATTACTAAACCCCTTACGTCATTACTGCATAAGGATACTCCTTGGGAATGGACTGAGGACCAAGATGCTGCGTTTGAAAAATTAAAATCAATTCTTACAAATAAACCTATATTAAAACTGTATGACCCGCTATCTGAGACGGAAGTACACTGTGATGCTTCTCAATTGGGCTTGGGAGCAATACTTTTGTAAAAGGATGAACGAGCGTCGATGCATCCAGTTGCATATGCGAGCCGCCAAACAACGGCAGAAGAATCGCGTTATCACTCTACTGAACTAGAGACTCTGGCTGTAGTTTGGTCTTTACAAAAGTTCCGCACTTACTTAATAGGGAAAAAGTTTAAAGTGATTACAGATTGTGCAGCTGTCAGATGGACGTTCTGCAAGAAAAACGTTGTACCAAGAATTGGAAGATGGTGGTTGCAGATCATGGACTATGACTTTGAAGTAGAACACCGAGCAGGGGATAAGATGGACCATGTGGATGCCCTTTCAAGGAACCCAAACGCTGAAGAAAAATCAATTTTAGAAGAAACAGAAATATTTCATGTATTGTTAAATACTATGGACAATGATGACTGGTTAACACTTGCTCAAAGACATGACAACAAATTGAATGAAATCATAAGAATTGTAGGGATTGGAGGAGAGCAGGTATTGAACAAAGCTGAAAGAAAAATTCAAGAAGAATATAGTGTTGTTGACGGGAGACTATACCGTAGGAACAATGATAAACTTTTATGGGTAGTACCAAAACGAGCAAGAAGTCAAATAACGAGGCTGTGTCATAATAATGTAGGACATCCAGCTGTAGAGAACACATTGGAAAGATTGCGACGCCACTATTGGTTTCCCTATATGAAACGATATGTAAAAGGGTTTGTTGGATCATGCTTAGACTGTTTATACAATAAAGTACCAGGTGGACAACGTCAAGGTAAACTTCATGCAATTGATAAGATAGGTGTGCCATTCCATACAGTACATGTGGATCACTTGGGACCTTTTATAAAAGGTAAACTTAACAATGTATATCTGTTTGTATTAGTCGATGGGTTTACAAAGTTTTCAATTTTAAGACCAACTAAAAATGTTAAGAGCAGCACTACCACCAAGTTGATGGAGGACATCATAGCTATATTTGGGCCCATGGTAAGGATAGTCAGTGATCGCGGTACAGCTTTCACCGGAAAAGAATTTGAACAAATGTGCAAAGCCAGGAACATTATTCATGTGAGGAACGCAACTGCTACACCTAGAGCCAATGGACAGTGTGAGAGACTTAACAGGACAATTTTATCAATGTTGACTACCACCTGCAAGGAAGAAGATGATTGGGACAAAGTTATAGGAAGAATTCAATGGAGCATTAATAATGCATTTAATAAAGCAACAAAATCGACTCCGTTCACACTAATGTTTGGATTTATTCCAAGGACCTATGATGGTGATGCAGTTCAAGATGAAGTACTGTCAACTCAAAACAACGCATGTGACATTTTACAATTAAGAGCTCGAGCGCTAGAGTCAATAGTTGCAGAGCAAAAGAAAATGCAGGACTACCACAATCAAGGGCGAATTAAGGTTCCTACATTTACCACAGGTGACTTAGTGATGATACAGCGTCAGACAACAGGACAACCAGGAGAGTCAAAGAAAATGTTGGTGAAATACAAGGGTCCCTATGTAATCACAGAAGTCCTACCTAATGACCGTTTCAGGGTACAAGATTTACCAGAGATTCAAAGAACCCAAAGATTCTACGAAGGAGTGGTAGCCTTAGATCAGATGAAGATGTACATGAACTCTGGATCTGACTCATGCGAAGAAGAGGAAGATAGTAACCAGGAAGATGAAGAAATGGAGAAGGAAGAGGACAAGACTGATCAACGACCCATTCGAGTCAGGCGAAAGCCAAACAAATTTGAAGACTTTGTATAATTTCTTATATGTAATAACTAAAATATCTGTGTATATTCTAATTTATATGATTAATATTAAGTCAGTTATATGAAAATTATCATGCTAAGTATTGTTATGATGATATGATATACAAGATATTTTCTAAAGTACCTCATACTGTTGAATGTAAAGCATTATTTGTTATGTTGACATGTTGTATTCATAGAGAAAACTAATTATCATAATTATTATGTTATTTTAAAATGTATATGTACTTTATATAATATGTAAATTAAGTATAAATTGTGTTATGTGCCTTATGAGGACATAAGGCCTAAGGATGGCCGAATGTTATCTTTATATATTGTTGTTGATAACTATACTGACGGGGAGTCGGTTGAGAGTTATCAGTCGTCGCCCGTATGTCCTGACGGACGGTTGTTATTATGTGTTTTATTCTTTCTTAAATAAAGTTCAATGTGACATGAGTTTTAGTGTATGTTAATATAAGTATAGATAATTAATAACAAAAAAATACACTTTGTACCTACTACTATTAATATTAATTCGTTTATTTGCATATTTGTATCTACGTATTTGGTATTTAATTTAATTGCGCCTGTACTCTATGCCTTTGGATATATCCTTTTATTGAAATATGATGACAAATAAATGATTAAATAAAGAATATTATTTTGTTTTTATACTTACAAAATTTGTAGGTTAAATTTAATTAGGTTTACTTAATATAATTTACACATATTATAATATGTGAGCAATAATTCCGCATTCTGGTTGACATTTTTTATGTATAATATTATATTACCTATATATTAGCATAGTATTGTAAACTATAAAGAATATAGGTACTAAGGTACCTATAAAGTAGCACTGTAGCTGGACACTTCACTTAGTCAATATAGATGATATTTGTTCAAAATACCTACCTATTTTGGTCCTTTTTATAGACATTTGAAATATGCAATAGATTTTTTCGAAACATAATTTATGTAATTGAGTACCTACTTGTTTCATTGTTTACAAGTAAAAATCTTGAATATAGGCACGAGGTATTCCTCATAAATTATTCAATTTGAGTATGTACCAGGTACTCTATAATTACAATAATATTCACATTTTTTATACGACTGTAAATTTGTTCATAAGTCTATGAAATATTATAGTACCCATCGCATTAATATACCCTAATGATATATTATTGTAATATTCTAGCCTTACACTCTTACGGTTAAAATATTAATATTGGCTAATGCGGTTGTCGGGTGTTCATTGTTATTTTTAATATCGTGCGTGCATGGCGACCGCCACCTACATTATTATTTATTTACGTAAGTTTGACATTATTGTTATTATTTTTACGCCGCGCATAAACCCGCTGCAGATATTGAGACCACGAACGAAACTGTGCCAACACGAACATAAAGATTATCTTCGCTAAACACAGTTATGCCGTATAGTGAATCCGTATCTATGAATCGGAATATTCCGAAAGCCAAAGGCTCTCCGAAATGGAGACGACCCAAGCCGTCCGCCGACAAGACTCGTTTTTTGGAAAAGCCGAATTTTACTTCGCATACCGGAAAACTGGTCGACGTGTTGTACGAGCGCCGTCACTGCAACTCCAGAGACGACATAACTCTGCTGTGCACTTACTTTGAAGCAAACAAAAGGTACCTACTTACATATTATTCTAAACAAAAATTATATAGGGAACAATTTTCATTATTTTCAATACCTTGTGAGTCAGGGGAGACTCCAGAGATTTGTATTGGTTGGGCTTAGTCATAACTTTCAGAAAACTATAATATGTTTATTTTTACAAAAATGTAAAACTTTTAGAAATACGATCTTGAGGGATTACGGTCCCTGGTACGTATAATTTGATCAGTTGAGTAAACAGATATTTTTTAATTGAGGAAGAGATTTTTTCAAGCGACTGATACAATTTCTTAAAATAAAATAATCAGGTAGAAATTATGTTAATAGACATTTATTTAAAGTAATGGTTTTTTTTTCGAAAGGTTTGGACTTTGGAGGTGAGCTCCTCCTTAACTCTTTCCTCGCAGAACTACTCTTCTGATTTACATCTATTTTGCAGTTTTAAATATTTTGTCTGAGTTATCTCCGTAGTTAGCTGTACTACTATACTAGTGGCTTTTAAAATAATAAAAAAAATTAAATATTTTGTTCTACATTTGTATAGGCAAAAAAGACTTCCAAAGGGGTCGAGATCATTTGTTAAAAATGAAACCTCTAACGATAACTACTATTCAGATAAACGAAAACTACGTACTACTAATATTGAAAACGAACCAAGCTACATGTTGTAAGTAATATTAATAATTAATTTTGTTTAAATCATTTTCATTGAAATAATTGAATTATTAAATATGGCATTAAAAATATGATTTACACGATTTTACAATACAGCAATATTGTATGAAAACATGCTAAAATGACTATTCGATAATTTTTAAAAATAGTTTTTCTTTTCAAAACTATATACATCTTTTACCGTTTAATGTTTATCATAATTTATAATATATTATGTTGATTCTTGATGCATTGATCACGAGATCACGACTATGGACTATGATTATTATTCCCACATAAGTCTATACTTAGATCAAAATGTAATATTATATTAATTGTTGTGTATACCTAGTTATTGTTTAAGGAGGAATCGCATGGGATCATCCAAATGTTCCGCTTTATAGAATAAAACGGAAAAATGTTGGATTATTCAATTCGATTCTAAATTGTATATAGTGTACTATTATTATTCCTATTACATAATTTTTATAGTTTATAACGTTTAAAATTTTAATTTTAAATGCAGGTATTTCTAATTGTTATAGACTTTTTCATAATATCGATAGTTAATATTTTTCATTCAATTATAGAAGTATATTTTGGCATTTTGATGTTTGAAAGAAACGTAACTACCTATGTACAAAATAAACTGTTCGATGTACGATTGTTCACAGCTACGATAAAACTTTTTATAAAATTGAATATACATTATAGATTTTATACATATAGTACTATATAGTATTTATATTATATATGTACCTACATCATTTTTGACTTATGTAATATGTTACACCCGCGAGTATCGTGTTTCCAGTTAACCTATGCAAGGTTTTTACTTTTACGGGACGTACAAATCGTTCAGTTTTCAACTTTCATTAAGAATCCGTTTTTTTTTTGGGTTCGACGTGCATTTATATGAAGAACACACAACCCGGACCAAAGAAGAATTCCTGATTGGATAGTTCATAGTTATTCGTTCTATTCAGGGCCTGCCTTTGAAAATTTTCACTGTACTATAATATAATATTATATATAGATAGGTACTTACCGTTATTTTCGAACTAAATGATTACATAGTTTATTATGTATAATTAGTTGAGTTGTACATTAATTATGAAGTTAACAGTTATATGAATGCACAAACCAATCAAATGAGATTTGTATTTAGTTATTTTAGTTTATATAAAATAAAAATAATATTATGGAAAAGCTGAAAATAAAATATGACATTTTTAAGAGTATTTATTAAATATTACTTTATAAAACAAGTACCTGTATAGTATCTTATTGATGGATGTTCTAATTTTTTTTGTTACAGACAACAATACAATAAACCCTCAGCAAAAATTAATGCGGTTCTTAAAGATCTAGGTTTTGTGTGTAATAGTGATAAAATGTATACATTTTATCCATCACAGATATACTATTATAAAGACGCTCAAAAGCATATTGCCAGATATGGTCAGAAAAGTTATATTGCACCAAAACCAAAAGTAAATAAATGTTTTGTTTATTTGCTAAAATATATTAGTGACTAGAAAGAATATAATTTCAGATTATATCACGTGTACCAATAAAATATGAATAAAATATTTAGATTAGTGATAGAAGAATTAAGACTGGTGGGTGTTAGATAATTTAGCAATTTTTTTTTATATAGAAAAAATAAAAATTTGGGACAAATTTAATATTTTAATTTGTAAGTTATTTAGTTATGAGTTTGATATTTTATATTAATACTACATTTATAAGTGCATAGTTCATCTGATTTGAAGTAGAAATCAAAATATCAATAATTGCAAAATAACAAAAACAATAATATTTCACCAATACTTATTATTATCACTGTAATTTATAATTTTTTATTTAAACATCAAAATATAAACATAAATTTTATCTAACAGTTTTTAATATTATTTTTGTATTTTAGAATTCAATAGGTAGTTCTGATGGATATAATCAAAACGGAAGACATCAAAAGCCAATTCACTCTAAAACATACCCGAAAGCAATTGTTACAAACAAAATTACAAAATTGAAGTATGAAACATATTAAATTAATATTACTTTTAAACTTGTTTTTTGTAGTTAGCTTTGAGTTATAATTTCAAAATTTGAATTCCATTTGTTGTGCAAATAATTAATCATCAACTATTTAATAGCTGACATTTAATACACATAACGTTGTAAAATCGTTATTGTAAAATTCATAATATTTAGAACTTTCAGGAAGATTATTTTTTTATAAATAATATTTAACTATTGAGTATACAAGATTAATATGTCTGAAATTATGCACTGTTATATTGAATGAAATTCTATAGCTACTTGAAAAGTATTATAATATTACAATATATTATTAAAATAAATGATGGAAAATAAATTGTGTACAAGTATAGAGTTAAATAAATTTAGTTATTTATATGTATATTATGTTAGAATCAACATCAAAATTCAATAATTAAAAAGACTCACTCAAATCAATTGAATTGCCAAAAAAACACCAATAATTTTCATCAAGATAAACAGTTGCCTACTAAATACTGGTCAATGAGGCACTTGTATTACAAATTTTGATCACGGTATTCTCTTGGACACAGGTAATTCAACTATTTTCTGTTTAAATCTTATGATTTTAAACAATGTTTTTTTATTTACAGAGAGCTTCTATTCGGTCTGTCCAGAGGTATTAAGTTATCATATAGCAAGCGTTGTAAACATAACATAGTGTTGGATCCTTTTTGTGGAGCTGGTGGCAATATTATACAGCTAGCAAAAACATGCAAACGAGGTATTATTATTACAATGTTACATAATATTTTATTAAAAATAAAAATATATAAAAATATAAGTTTTAATAAAACTATTTGTGTTTAGTTATAGCATGTGATATTGATCCAAATAAGATAAAATTAGCACGGCATAATGCTGAGATATATGGTGTTGCTCATAAAATTGAATTTATAGTTGGTGACATTTTTCAAATTTACACGAAGTTAAAAGCAGATGTAGTATTTATGTCACCACCATGGGGAGGACCAGGATATTCAATTGATAAAAGCTACAGTTTAACGTCCATGTGTGACAGTTATTTCGGAGGAGGTTTTGGTATTTTTGATATAGTTAAAACTATTGCGCCTAATATTGCATTTCATATGCCGAAAACCACAAATATATTAGAAGTAAGGCAAATGATGTATGGTGTTTAATATAATCTAACCTTTATATTATAATTTTTCAGTGTATGTGGTTGGCAAATGGTTTTGGTAAAGTGGAAATTCAGCAGAATATTATTAATGGAAGACTGAATTCAATCACAGCATTCTATGGAGACTTTCACTGAAGTAACTGATGGTTGCCAGCGACTTTTGAAAATGTTCTTTGCAGTTTTTGATTAATTATGTTTGATGATTAGAATAAAGTTATTTCCAAATTATTTCATTATTTTAACGAGTATTTAATTGTAAAAAATGTATATAATTCTGCAACCATCATAAATATATATATATATATAATATATATCATAAATATATAAAACGTTTACACACTGCTAATACAACAATATTTTATGTTAAAAGACTATAGAAAATTAAAAATTATACCAGAGGTTGACCTAATTAAAACCAATTTTTGTTTTTTAGTAAGTAAATGTAATATTTAAATTGTCTTGTCGAATTGAATTTATGGAATATAAATGTTAACTATTTTAATATAATATTTTTTTAACTCATTGATATAAAACAAAATTATACATATTAAAACAATGCAATTGTTGCAATTTAAAACTAAGTATTATAGTTTATTGACTATTACGTAAAACAAAGTTAACTCTGAGTATGTATACATTTCATTAAAAATATTTTATCAATAAAATCATTGAATTGGAAAAATAATATAATAACAAAATATCTAAAAATAATGTATTTGTAGTGCTAAAAAAAAAATACTATACTTACTAGTTTAGTTTTTATCTTGATATCTTTTAAGGCTTGAAATAGTTAACTTTTAATTAAGGAACCTACTATACACTATATAAAAAAAAAATGAATAATTTATATTCACACTTTATCATCGCTTCTTAATTCTTCCATTTTATTTGCAATATTTCTTTCCATTTCAGCTTCATATCGCCATCTCCAATAAGCTGCCTAAAATGGAAATGTTTAAATTAAATCATAAAGGCATAGTTTTTTTTTTTTAAATTTTGATTAAAAATATATTTACTTTTGAACGATCCCACAACGCACCAAATGAATCTAAGGCTGGCCTTACATCCAAAATAGCCACTTGATATTTATTTGGTGAATTATCTGTACTGTAATAATCAATAACATATCGTACTTCTTTACCACAACGATCTACTATCCAATCATGTCTATCAAAAGGTAGTTCATATCCCATCCAATTTCTTATTCTTGCTCTTGGAGAAAAATGTTTAGCTTTACCCCCAAAGCTTTTCAACTTTGGATTCATACATTCATTTGCGTGGAAAGCTTCCCATTTTAGTACCTCTCGCCAAGCAAGCTCATTGTTGATGTTGTGTATTTTAATTATAACATCCATATCTTTTGGTGATAAATCATCGTCTTTCCAACGCCACCCTTTTCGTAACATTGCATTCCAAAACATCTAAACGGTTTTAAAACAGTTTTTAGTAAAAAAATATTGTATTATATAACTGTATTAATCGTTTTACTTGAGCTGACGGATAAACCCAAAAGTCACCCTCTCCTTCTGACTTAGGTATAGTAGATACTTCTCGTTCTGTTGGTAATAGAAATGGTTGATCCGGTGCTGGTTTTTGATTTGGAGGTGGCATCTATGAGTATAATACATGACATATAATAAAGATTCAATAATTGGTTTTAAGTTATTAGGTATGATGAATGGTGATAGTTTATGAATCCATCAGAATATTAATTTTATCACAGTCAACATTTTCTGCAGATCCTAAGTAAATTAACGACAAGAGAAACATCTAACTGTTTTTATTATCAGACATGGGAAATCCTTCTTACCCAAACATCCAACCCCCAAATTACGCCACTGAGGCGTAGCCTCTATGCTGGCTACACCACCTGTGACATCAAACTTTATTAAGAAAAACACCGATTCAAATTGTGTCAAATTGTGCACGAGAACAATACTTATCCAAAATATATTTAATAATTCAGTTACAATTAGTGATAATGCGAATACCAAGTCATATACACACGCCCGTATAAATATAATATAAGATTATATTTTAATAGTCACAACAATTTTATACTATTTATAATCAATGACACATATAACATTTGTATATAGACAGCTATTAAACTAGTAGAATGATAATGTCATTATTTTAATAATTATTGAGAACTTCTCAAGATGGTAAACAACAAAACGTTTCCTGATTTGAAAAAAAAAATGTTTATTTTATATTTCTGGTTACTCTTAACGAATAATAATAATATTAATAGGTACAAAATCAGGGGCCCCCAATTACCATAATTGAGACCGGGGCGGAGGGGCACCGTCTGCAATTGTGGACTAGCAGTCCGGGCCAGTCCAACTCTGCTGACAACTGACAAGTTTCCACAACTGAGAGTGCAATATTGATGTAACAGTGTTTAATAGCTAACAAAAAGAATCAATAGCGATTAAAAATAATTTCCTATATAATATCTAAGCTGAAAATTATGTTTATAAACAAATAGTAGATGAACGACAAATTTAACTATAAACAGTTATATTTACTATAAGTCAGGCAGTCTATTTTGTATTTTTATAAATAAAAGTTATTCTCTCTCTCAAACCAAACTAAAATTAAGTCATTTTAATTTTATAGGCAAATACTTACTAGGCAAAGTAAATTATTGGGAAATATATACATTCAGGCAATTATAATACGGTCCGATTTTAATGGATAGCATTGTCAAAATTATATATTTGCCCAGTCCAAGTTTGACAGTGTACGCCACAATGATTTAATTGTTGTTTTATATAATTAAATTTTAAAACCTATAGTAAATTATTTTTAACTTTTTTTAGCTGGGCTTCTAAAGGCCGTTCATAAAATGTCCGATTAAAGTTAATTGGCCAAATTCTGGAAATAATTAAGTCTGTTATCAGTTGGTTAGTGTTAACAGACACTTTACCGGACTTTGTAAGAACAACCCTAAATGTTTAATAACATAAAATGCTTATTTTTTTTTATAGTTTAGGTTACAATGCTCAATTTATCACACACAAACTACATAAAATCCTATCAGGAAAAATAGTATTTTAATGCATTGCCCCAAAATACCAGGTAAAGTATACTATATACTTATACAGTGTCTTAATAGGGAACAATCGCTTTTTGTGCATAGTGAATGATGTGATAGATAATTTGAGAATCAAGTGATCACGCTAAAACTGGGTCGTTGTTGGGAGAAGTGCAATACTGACAAAAATCGGCTAGTGGACTGATAATTGAATTGTTCTCTTTTGAGATAGACTCTGGACCAGGTTATGTATCAAATCGCCCGTATAATATATTTATTATACATTAGGTAGATAGGTACTAGATACTTTTACATTTTAACATTACTGAAGTTAAGTATGGGAGTTGCATTTTTTAACATTTGTGGATTCAATGGATTACCCATTTTATTATACCTATCCAAATTCAGCGCACTACACTTTGTCATATAATATGTTTACCATATTAAGCGGATTAATGTCATCTGGGTTTCCCGCCACAGCACATCCAGCGGCTTTCTTATCATCTGTTTTGACGTGCATTGGACATTCCGGTGGTGGGCTCATGCCAGCTGTGTTGGTAAGGCCGTGTGGATTTTTAGGCGCTTCATTGTTGTTAGTTTCATTCTGTGGAATGAACGCCTGCACCACAAGTTTTTGAGCTCCGGAAACCGTATTTCCCATTGCTACTCGTCAAAAAATCTAAAAGAGTCAAAGTAAAAAAATACCTACGTGATACATATATTATATCTAACTAAAACATAATAAACAACGTATTTACTCACTCGTACTCGATGATGGTTAAGACAATTTTGGGAATTCAAAATCGTAATTTTCAGATCAGAAATACATTCACATCTTCAGTGACTGAAATCGTGGGTTGCACTCGGCGTCGTGGTCAAAAAAATATTAGCAATTCAGATTTCGAATAATTCGGAACAGGAATGAATAAATAATAATTATTCCTATTTCCCAGGTGTAATTTTTCCTAAGAAAAAATGTTCTAACCTATATCACGTTTTCTTCCTCCGTTGAGCACGGACTAAGATATATATCTTAGTCCGTGCCGTTGAGGATGTTATCAAATCTTAAATCGTGCGTCTGATTGATAATCATCATGGAAAAGTGATTGATACGTTATCTCATAACAGTAATAATAATGATCACTAACGTTTTGTTTATTATCGCACATCATATTTTTTTATGCACCACCGATATAATACAACTACTACTACTACGACAACAATACTACAACTTAAACTATACAACTGCAACTCATTAGTTATTATAATACATAGGTATTATTATTATTACAATTTCGCCGTCTATGGTCCATCTTTTTTTTCTCTTTCTTTCTTTTTAAAATGTTGTCGATAAAATAATAATGACAACATGTCTCGTCGTTTGCGCAGTCTAGTCCGACACTCCGATCCGTCCGCCGGTCCATCGTAGTTGGACATTCTCGCTCTTGGGGCGATGAGAATAAGACTATTACAAATTATTTGTTTGTCAATCGTTGAAAACTCGTAAATCGTGTAGGGCGGCAGGTGTATAGCAACAAAAAAAAAACCGCTTAGCCGTAAAAATTCTGAAACGAGAAATCAGTACACTGACCGAACATCAATACAACTATATCTATAGTGTTTTAAATAACTCAGAATAATATATGAAAATGTCCATATCGTCAGACTCGATAGTTCACAAACTGTATAACCGTCAGGTAATTTAATGTTTTTTTTTTTTTATTATTATTATTCTGATATAGGTACCCATAGGGCATAGACTAATGGACAGCGCTTAGAGAGAGAAGTCAAAGTTGGGTACGATGTAGAGTGAGCGAGTAAGGAAACAAAGTAATAAAATTCATACACTTCTTTATGCAGGCTTTATGTGGTGCTCCTTCACTTTGTTATGTTCTTTCTCTCTCAGTTATATGGTTATATGATCGCCTATATGGTAGGGTGGAGTGAAATGCACTGTCCATTTGTTTATAGGTCTATGGTTATACCTAATATAAAACTGCACCTTCATATGTTGTGTTTAAAAATCCCAAATTGAAGACACTTGTCACCTCAACAAGTATGAATTCTGTATCACTGGTATGAGCGATAATCAGCTTAAACACCTTGTGGGTGGTAGTTTTATAATAAAATTTATTTTAAGTAGGTACATTTGATGTTTGTCGTTTGTGTACGACATAATACATAATATACCTAACCTTAGCTCTTATAGGAATTTAAAAGTGACACCCATAAGTTCTTTTTAAATCATCACTGGTATTGTGGTTAAACCAATTTATCATTTATTCTACTGGTTTTTTTTTTTTATTACCTACATATTAGGTACTATGTCAATGTTTAACTTTGAAATGTATCAAATTAATTTAATTTTTATCAGTAGATGTGTAATTACTTACATCAAATTATTATTAATTTTCTAGCTATTTCATTACAAGTAGGTACCTATCATTTGAATTGCATTTATCTCTTAGTCTACATGATGATTTATTACTTTAGTAAAGTATATTAAAAATAGCTCACATTTTTATTTAAATAATGCAATTAATCACAACTACTTAATTATTTTCATTTATGTTATACCTATTTATTATATAAATGTTGTTTTTTAAAATATTTTTTTCCTAATTTCTATGAAAAAAGTTTATTTGATCATTGACCCAATGCCCGACCCAACGTTAGTTTCGTTATAGTCAAAATGACCTCACTTTTTCTACATCTTGAATAAAACATACATTTTACATTTCATTCATTGATACTCAATATACCTTTTATAAATATTATTTAAAATACTATATTAAATAAAATAATAAATAAATTTAATAACTTGGTTGCTAACGAAGTTTTGAAAACTTCAATTGCCTGTACATTATTTTTTTTTAAATATTATTCGTTTGATGTTTAAAGAAGTAACTTTTTATAACTAAATTGTATAAATTATAAAATATGTATGAAATAGGAAATTATTTGTTTTGATAAAATTGTATGAATTATTTTTTTATTAAATATAACGTAGTCAAAAATACTGCGATGCCATTAATGACGTTATACCGTGTGTAACAGAAAGAACTGACCAAAAAAAAAAAAAAAATGATGCTACTTAAATGTATGACAAAAATTGTTGAAATTATATGATTAGTAAATAGTTTTAAGAATATACCCATGTTATAAAATTTCCAAAAATAATATTTTTAAAAAAGCTATTGCGTTCCAAATTTATTTTATCAAAAAAATATTGATATTTAAAAAAATTCTAAAAAATAAACTACTAGACTTAGATAAATGTTTTTACCATCCAAATCGTTCTTAAAATCAGATTCACAAGTTTGCTATTTTGAATTTATTCAAAAAAATTTAAGTCAAATTTAAAATTTTTTATTTTTAGTATAAAAAAATAAAAATAATTTTTTTCCTCTTACACGTGTAGAGCAAGTGGCTATAAATTATATATAAAAAAAAAAATTAAAAATAATGATCAGAACAAAAGTTATTCCAAAAGTCAGTTCTATCTGTTACACCCTGTATACACTGATGCGACTGACGTCTGTTAACAACTCCTAAATTCAAACAAATACTCATACCTCTCTATTTTTATAAAATATTGTACGAGTGGCTCTTCTAGGATCACATAAATTTAAAAGTGTTGATTAATAGTCTACAAAAAAGTAATAATTAATAATTTGTATTATTCTACCTTGTTTCTAGGTTCATGGTACTTTTAAATACAAGCATAATCCTCAAAACAATACAAGATATTTATTTAAAGACAATCCGGATTATGGTAAATTTTTCTTGCCAGATATTATAGAAGATATTTCTGAGTTAGTAAATCAATCAAATTTTATTTATTCCTTTTAACTATTATGTATTTCTTTTAATGTATTTTTATATATATTTTGTTCTTTTAGTCATGTTTTTATGGGTTTAACTCGATGTGGCCGATTTCTATTGACTTACACAATAGCAGACTCAGAGAATATAGTGGTTGTTGATGGTCCTCTTATGTCTTCATTGAACATGAAGTATAAACTGCATTTTTGGGCTTTTCGACCGGGCCAATCAGCTCTTAGGGTTTCAGAAATTTCATTATTTGAGAATGCGGAGTTTAGTGATTTTTTAAATATTTACATTGTTCAATGGCCAAACCGGTCTGACAGAATCGTAGTTTTCGGTGAAAGGTAAATAATTCTATTGAAATAAATAATATTGTTATTAAGTATTCTTCTTTACTTCTAAATATAGTGTGACGTCTGAAGATGATGATTGTGACATGCACAAAATTTACATTACAGTCACTACATTACCATCTTTAAATAACTGTAAAGATTGTCAATCAGTAGCCTATGAACATAGGGATGAAGGTACATTAAGATTGCATATCATTGTTTTTTTTTTTATTATTTTATTGCAACTATAATTTTTGTTTAGATCTTTCCAAGTATTATTTGGGAAACACGTGTCTTATTCATGGCCTTACTGTACACACGTCATTTACAGTGTCACATCCTTATCCTCGACTGGAGCCTTCCGTGTCATTGAAATATGATAATCATATTGTGCTCAATACGTGCAATTTTATTCACGTTTTAAATTTTGATTTAGATAAAAATCAAAATTCTACATCTGATAAATCAGAAAACATTAATGTTCCATTAGCTCACAAGTATATTATATCAAAAAATATAAATTAGTCACTAAACTTATACTAAACGATTAATTTTTATTTACAGGCTTAGTAATGATTTGACTGAATATGGTTATAAAATGGCAACTAAAAGTGATAGTCAAGAAAGGGGTGTCAAAAGGAGACATATTGATACAAGATGTTTTGTATGTTAAACTAAATAATAATTATAATATAATTTAAATAATTTGTTTTTATTGATTTCAGTTTGACAAAGAACAAGATATGACGATGGCTGCTCTAAACTCCATGCCTAATTATAACAACCATCGTCTTTTAAGGATGAAAGATGCTGAAAAGGTAAATAAAATTATAAATTATTTATTTATTTTTGACTATTATACTGATGTTTTTATTGTTTACTCGATAGGTATATGATTTTGATGAAAATGATGATAGTTGTTTGCTTAAGTTTAAATGGTTCAGACGGAGAAGAATAGCAGATAAAATGTATGAATTTTGTTCGGAAGAAGAAGATATGGAAAATGTGCATCCATCATCTAAAAAAAATCTCTTTCAACGCCGTGAATCGCCTGGACCTTCAGCCGTTGATCAAACACCACTATATATACAAACAGACTATGAAGATGATATATTAAATGACTGTGATAGAAAAATGTTATTTGCTCAAGAATTAAATGCAATCATTGCCGACTGGGATTGTTTATCATCACCACGTTCAGTTACCTCTGAAGATAGAGACATTAAGAGTCCTGATAGTACCAACAGGAAAATTACCAATGTGCTCAAGCCAAGAAATAAAACTCCATTGTTTAAAAATTCCAAAAGCCCCTGTGATAAGAAAATCGGTGTTATGATTGTTCCTGATAATATTCAAGGTAGAGATTAAGGTTTTATTATTTCAGATAACATTTTTGTCTATACTTTATATAACTTAATATTGATAAATAGGAAATCAACCAAGTAGTTCATTTCGATCTGTACCACTACAAGGATGTTCAGTGAAATTTGAAAGACAGTACATAGAAGTAGATGAAGAAATTGTTTCAGTCACTACAGATTTAGATGGTAATTTTATTATAATTATTTTTATAACAAAAATAATAAGTTGAATTCCATAACCTGAGTTGTATGAAATAATTTAGGTTGTCAATTTAAGGTTTTCGTTTTATAGGACATGGGTACTCACTCTACTAAAGCATGTCTAAATATTTACTAATAATCATTAATATGTAATGATTGTTATAGAAATGTATCACATTATTACATTAGTCTTTAGATTGTAATGAATTATAATTTATAATACACATGTGTATAGACATTATTAATTAGATTTTTTTTTAATTATAGAAGAAGATGGTATAACAGGGTCTTTATGCGCACTTCCGTTATCTGTGCATGGGTCTGCGTCTGCTCAAATGCAAATGATCAATACTGCCAAAATTGGAAAACAGGTATTTTTCTTAATCTAAAAAATGATTAGTGTTGATAATAATTACTAATTAATTATTATATTTTAGTAAACATCTTAAGTAAGTAGTAGAAATTTAGTATTTTACATTTGTTTGAAATAGTTTGTATTACTTATCTTGAGATGTTTTTATGCAGTTATAATGATGTTTGTATAATGTTATTAATACAAATTAAAAAATGTTTGATATCTTCAAGTAGTAGTATTAAAACATGCACATAACAATATGTTTATAAAAATTCAAACTACATTCCACTGTCTATTTCAGCGGTTATCAACCGGGGTGACATGGGCTCAGTTTAGGGTTAAATTAATTTTTTCGCAAAAAATCATATTGTTATTTATTATAATTTTAAAGTATTATTCGCTTATTATACAAAATAAATAAAAAATACTTTTATGTTATTACTGAGCAATAAAAGCTGTGTACTAACTGACAAATAATAATCAGAACAAAATTTACATTAATATTTTATCTTAACATATTGACCATTAACAGCATTTAACCAATTTATAGATTAAAATGTCAACATTTATTGAACCCAGCCACTCAAATTAAGTGTATACTTATTAATTTTCTGCGTACTGCAATTTTTTTTTTAATTAAAGAATAATTCTAAAATATATAGGTAGTTAAGATTTTTTATTATTTTAATGTTAGGGTGACACAGTGTTTGATTCTAGTATCTAAAGTTTGAATAAAAAAAGGTCTAGAACCACTTTTCTGTATGTTAGACCTCATTAGCATATAGTATATGTTTATACATTTATTAATCTAATCATTTTTTTTCTTTAGGAAAAAAACGTTTGCGTTGTAAAACAGGCGAGCTTAGATTTTGAACATGTTAGCTATAAAGTGGCTGAAATTATTTGCAATCTTGAAGGTCACAAATTTTGGTGCTATAACGACTATGACTCGGCTATTGTTGATGTAAATATACGTTTATTATGTTCAGTTTGCAATTTAATGATATAACATTTTAACTAAAAGATATTCAAATGTGTTCTAACAGATTTGTCCATTAAATGGTGACATTTTAATTGTATTGTGCATAAGACTGAACACAGAAGAGGAGAAGAGACCTACACCCCTTTGTCAACCAGCCAATAGCAGGTAATTTGTGTTAGGCACTTAGTACTTATTACCTATAATTTAGATGCCTAAAATGTATGTACATCATTTTATTTAAACATATTGTAAATGTCCACTTAGGGGTTTTGAGACAAAATGTGTGATTCTGTGGAACCCTGAGACTGATACTTGTTACCTGGAGGCTTACTTACAACTGGAAGTAGTCACGGATGATCCGAGTCAAACGAGTTGGAATCCAGCTCGTTTTGAAGCCAATATACTGCGCAATGCGTCCATGGGTTTCTTCAACGTCCCTATGGGCCGTCAAGTGAGGTGTTTATCACATGAAGTCTGGTCTAAGCAAGTTGGTAATCTAAGTGAGTATTTTTTCAATGTTTTGAATAATTTACCTTAAACCTTAGGTAATATTAAGTATTATAACAATTTTACTTATAATTTTCTAGATCCATCTTTGTTTGAAATTAGAGATGAAGATAATATGATCACTATCCATAGAAACCGAATAAATGTGGTAGATGAAAACAATGTAATGATGTACTTCCGTCACAGACTGCCAATATAACTAAAAGAGCAGTTGGAGTTTATCTTAAGGTATATTAAGTTTAATTAGACTATCTAAATATTACTATTGAAAAATAAGTGTGGATAGCTATATTTTCTTTTTCAACAATTTACAGTAATGAATTTAATTTGTAAGTTTTATATCTCATCAATCGTTTAATGATATTATACTTTACCTGTTTAATTTGTATTAAGGAATTAGTCCCTTGAACTCATTTATTTCTTGTTATTCTCTTTAAGTTTTCACGACAATTTAAAAATAATAATCAACTTTTTCGTTTGGAAAAACTATTAGTATCTTTTACAAATAAATATTTTACTGTTTAAAATAATATAGTTCAATGTAAATTTTGAGTTAAATATTTATCATTATATTCGTTCACATTGGAAATTATTTAACTTGCACATTGGAAATAATTTTAACTTCTGTCAATGTGAACTTAACTTAGATTTATTTGTATTTTTCTGTGAAATAATATCTCTTCAAAGAAATCAACATTATTATAGTTAAAATCAACAATTAATTTGTAAAATGGTTCATATTATTATTTGTTTTTAGTCAATATCTATAATGTATATTGTAGATATTTAAAGTACAAAAATATTATTAAAATTATATTATATTATAATTTATTTTGTTATTATTTTTCATCTCCCATTCAACTATAAAATTATTTAAGAGTATAGTATAGTGAAATTGAATAAAATTATTTATGTTTAACTATATGTATTATTATTATTTATTACACATAAAATGTAAAAATAATCAAAATTTGTGTAGTTTATATAATATTCATTTAATATTAATAATGCATAAATTAAAATTATAATAATAATGTTTCTATAATTTACATTATAATATTATATATATAACAATATTAGTAACATCCACTGATTATTCAAAAAATATAGTATTATAATAATTTTAACTTTCTTACTCTAGGCTGCAATGACAAAATAAATGTCTTACTTAGTATTAAAATAACAGACTATGAATTATGATGTATATGTGTAAAAAAGTATCACTTGTAAAACATTTAACAACAATTTGTGACTTGACAAGATCAATGTACGAATAAAATGTCTGAGGAATATATAAATGTAGGTCGCATACTTAACACATACGTGTTTAGTTTCTATGATAGGCTTACTACTCTTAAAACTTATGTACAATGGCGTTACTATTTTGTTGTACCTAACAGTAATATAATACTTTATCTAATAATATGGAATGTCCGCTATGATGTATCCAACCGCGGCGGCAGGTAGTGCAAAAAAATATATTTAAGAAACTGTTATTATATTATATTATTATTTATATATATACATTCAGAATCACATTTACTTATACCATTACTATAATGTACATTTTAATTACCTCAATATTATGTATTTTTTAACTTATATTTTTTTATGTGTAATTTTAATTTATATTTGCCTAGTAAAAAATGTACATATTCAATAGTATTGTATTATTTTAATTCTAACCGCTGTATTAGCAAAGTAATTTAAATGTATTGTTTGTCGCGTGCTGCTCCCGTGGGCACAATCATGTGTTTGAAAATGTACACTGTAGAGTCGATTTTACTCTAGACTCTTAATGTTTAACATAATGATATAAAGTACTTACTATTTATAGCATTTCAGTTTGTAAAGATGTATTATGTCTCCGTTTTATGTTTAGAAGGTGCTGAATTGTTTTTGAGTAGGAACAATTTTTATTTATTTTTGTGAAGTGATTTTTTTATTATTATTACTTACCTATTTTATCTGATGAGAATGTTCAATTATTGTAAGTTCCTTTTTGTGGATTGTTTATTTTTTATAATAATAGTCCGGAAATATTAATCTTTATTGCCTATTAATAAAAATAATATTAAATGTTACTATGAAATTTGAAAATAATATAATATACTATACAATATAATATACTGAAAAATGCATATTAATTATATTTGTACTTTATTTTGTTGTTTATTTGATAGGAAAAAAATATATATAATATGTAAAACAAATAAAATATTGATTGAACAATGACACTTAAAAATTGTAAATAATAAAAATCGTCTAAACTGTACAAATTTGGTTTATGAGCCAATAGTCTCTTATTCCTATACGCTAATGTTTGAATGCATTAGGATTTGTTGAAAATAATAACAATTATATTTATATCTATTTACACAACACATACAAAACCATCGTGTACATAATATTATGACACTAAATTTCTATATTAAGTTATAAATAATTAGGTTTGTATTGTCTTAAGGAAAAGTCGGGTGTAGGGCAATAGTCATTCCTGGAGTTTGACCGATTCGAATAGACAACGCACTCCGTTCGGTTTTGATTTCTCGACCACAAACCACACGTTCGCCCGACTCGTACGAATTATTTCAATATAAATTAATTATAATATACCTATTTACTTATATTTATTTATTTTTTTTACTTTTACTTTTGAGCAACTATAGTCCATGCAACGAAAAGTGGTCGGCGTGACTCTAGCGGCCAATTCCAATCAGTGGTCTGAAAAACATGTAAAACTAAAAATAATAAAATAAAAATTGCATATTATGTTGTGTTGACATCGCAGCTTCGTGGTGAGAACCCATGGCTAACCGCCGGTATATGGTGGGCGGGGGACGGGTTTCATTGGCCAGTTTTCGTTATGCGGATTATAATAGTGTAGGTCCTCACGACCTGCTTAGAGACTTGGTTGGAAGCTAAGTCATAATTTTCAGAAAATTTCGGTAATATCATGTTTTTTTTTGTAATTTTTTTTTAACAATATTCAATTTTGTAGAACTATGGGCGCTTGTTGGGGGCTTCAGCGACACGTTTCATTGTTTGACCGACTCGTACGAACTATTGTAGTAGAAAATTATATATTATTTTTAGATACTGAGCGGAGCGATTAATGTATCGAATTTACAATGATGTGTGGTTTTCTAATTTTAAATTTTTTTAGATTCTGAGCGGAGCGAGGAAGCTATTGGTTTTACAATGGTATTTATTTTTTACATCCTTTATACACAATTTCTACCAGAAGGAGTGCTTCGATTTCAACATATAGTACCTTTTCTTTTAGCAAATTGGATTAAGATGGCACTTTAGAAAGGTCATATTTCGATTGTATCAATAGTTATTTAATGCCACGGTAAAAACCACCTAAAAATTACGAAAAACCGCTTAAATTTGGATTTTAATTTCTAACGCTTTGCTTATTACCATAGAAACGAATAAAAAATAATAGTATTATAATATTAATTCAACTTACATGATATAATAATGAATGTCAATATACAATATCTAGACTGACAAACCGTCTCCGTTCAGAAACGTTTTTCTTATACAATGATAGAATATCATTGAATTCAAGTTTCATACAATCCATTATACAATGACCCATTTGTAACCTACTGTACAGCAGAGCGACATCCACTTAACCGCTTTTTTTTATTATTTGTGTGTATACACGATAAGTAGTTTAAATAATGCTTCGATTTTCAACTTCAGTATCTTGTTCGATGGGAAAGTAAATCTAATTAGTGCATTGGAGAAGTCAAATTTTAAAACTCCCAGTAATTTTCAAAATGTTGATGTGTTATGAATTGTACACGGACATTTACAGTTTCCAATTTTATCTTAGATTTAAAAATAAAAGTTTTTATGAATTTTTAACTCAAAATAATTTGCAAATTTTCGTTATTTTTATGCCTTTAGTCAAAATTTGAATTTTAAATGCTTATAAAAAAAATTGTAATTATGGTTTTTTAATATTTTTCAAATGTCATTGTAACAATATATTAAGAGCTTAGAGTCCGGTATTACATGTTCAAGCTCTTTTGCCAGACAAATAACATTTTATTGTCATTCATAAAAAAAAAAAACTATAAAAACTGAAAATTTATAATGTCTGCAAACAGCTCAAAACAAGTCAAAATATTTTGAATATTTTATGGTGTATAGCAAAATCCATACGTATTAAATCCAAATACCACTAACTCACTCATCGCTGTAACTCAAAAACTACACAACGTACGAAATACAAACTTGAAATTTGGAATAGAGGTTCTTGTCATATATTCACCGTGCCATAAGAAAAGATTTTCAAAAATGTTGGGTTTTAGTGGAGTAATTAACAATTACAATTAATAACCGGCAATACCTACCCGGCCGCGTATTAGGAAACCCAGGACTCCACAGAGCGTCTTATGTATACCACGTTCTCATTGGCCCATTTCAAGGTTAGGCTTTTTTTTTTTATTATTTATCAAATAATTTAATTTAATTTAATAATATTAATTTAAATATAATAATATTATATTATGTAATTTAAACAAATTAAAATAACTATTTAGTAGAAAAAGGTACCTAACTAATATTAAACAATATTATTATGTTATTATAATTCAATAAATTAATGTAGAATGTGATCTCTACACAGTTATTTTTATTTTTTACTTTAGTAGGTAGGTACCTATACCTACCTCAGAGTGAACATTTCTTACTAGACTAAGTGTATTGTACTTGTACACACCTTTTGTGTTAGCTAAAAAGAAGGTCTAGGTTCTTCCTAACATAGAAACAAAATACCAATCTTACTTAAATGTTTTATTTTTACTAAAACATAAGATTCTTAATTCAAATAGGTGGGTACCTTACTAAAAGTTCATGCTCTAACATTAATATATAATATATTGTATTTTTAATAAAGACATAACTATTTTTATATTATAATTACTATCCAATTAAACAAATAGTTGTAACTTCACATGAACGGTGCAAAAACAATTTTGGACGTCTAGTTTGGTAGTCTAGTTCATCGATGATTGAAAAACCCTGTTATTATTTTCAATTTTATATTTGTAGGTACACTACATTACTACCTACATCAGCAGTGGTTTATAAATAATATTTTTTTACACATTTATAGGTAATTAAACTAATTCAACCTTTTTAAATGTTATGCAAGTATTAAGTAAACAAATATTAAGGTAG